CAATAGCTTGAAAACTTGCCGTACATTACATTACAGGACAAGACAAGGAGTCCTTTGAAGGACTCATTTAGCAAAAAGAATAGAACAATAGCTTGCAACATCCAGTGGCAACGAAAAGTGCAACCAACAATGCAACAAAGAGTTGCAAAATAAAAGGATTAAGCTAAAGGACTGACTGACTGCTGCTCTTCTCAAGTCTCAAGTCATCTATATATATATGCTATTTAAAATTATTAAACGGTGTGAAGATATTAATAAAATGGAATTGCATAAAGTGTGAAATGGAAAATGTGGAAAATGTGTGAAAAATATGAAATATGAAATGTGGAATGATAGCTTGCCCAGAAGACTTGTGGCCTTCATTTGTCTTCCTCAGCTGGTGTATCCGCTTCCGGTCTTATTCCAGACTCCAGCTCCAGCTTCTACTTCTTCATTCTTCAGCTTGTTAAGCATAATTAAAATCACAGAGAAGGATGGATATATTTAAAAGAAAAGAGATAGATAGATGAAGCAAGTAGCAAGTAACGTTGAGTGAGTGAGTGTGATTAAGAGATTGCAAATTGTTTTTGTCATTGTTGGGTGGTGATGGTGATGGTGATGGTGGAAAAAGGATGATGGTCCTTTAACGTCCCTCTCGCTCCTCTGGCACTCTGGCTCTGTCCCTCATTTAACTCTTCTTCTTTCCGCAATTAAATTGACCGTTAAGCTGGCTGAAGGGAGTGAGTGAGACGGTCACAGGACGGTCACTGGACGGTTACGAAAAACAAACATGAACGGCGAAAAAATTGAATTGTTGAACGTGCCATGCACCATTTACAGATGCATTTACCTCAACCTTTAAGTGCTTCTCTCTCTTTCTTAGCTAGCTGTCTCTTTTTGGGGTCTGTCTTGCTCTTGTCTGTATACCCTTTCAAGGGGGTTAACTAATTAGCTGGCGGATGTCCGCTATTTTGTCCGTTATGGAGAGGTTTATTTAAGATTTGGGGTTCTATTAAGTCCTGGGTCTGGAAATTTAAATCTTAGGCTTATAGTTGTGCTTAGATTTCATAAACCATAACAATTTTGTTTATAATTCCACTCTTAAGCCTCTGTCCGCGAATTTGTCCGCTAGAGAGAATAAAGGCAAACATTTTTGTTTTCGGTAGAGAAAAAACTTGGATTATAATGAATAAATTTTAATAATCTTAAAACCTATAATAAAAAATAAAAGCTATCTTTTCTTTACTCACTATACCCAAAAATTCTTGTCCGTTAGCTGTCCGCTTAAGAGAATATAAGCATAGATGTGGGCTTTTCAGAAGTGTTGCAACTTCAAATTAAACAAATAAACCTCAAAAATTGTAGAATCTATTATAAAAAATAGAAGACCTTTAACTTCTTTACCTATAAAACCCTAAAATCACTGTCCGCTAGTGTCCGCTCAAGAGAATATCAGTAGAAATCTCTCAAAATACAAAGTATTTTAGTAAAAAAAAGAGTATATTCCGACTTCCTCAAACAAATATCCTTAATCATTATGTCCTTACGAGTCTTTAATGAGTTCCAAGCAAAAAAAAAAATAGAATAGAATGGGAGGCAGGTTTTGGTGCATTCGTTATGCAAATGTTTTAGCCCCATTGAGTTTGATGGGCGGCCATAAATGTAATTATAATGTGCATTCCATGCAGATATGTACATAACTGCATAAGTACATTAATGCGTTTGCCGATATGGTGAGTGGACAGTGGATTGTGGAGGGCTCTCTCTTCATTGATGATTCGCCATCAAATAATGTATAATGAATAATGCATGATCGCTTTCCTTAATCAACGACCAACAACGAGCGACATTTAATTTTAATTTTAATTAATTTTGTCAGCCTGCCCCCTGAATGAAAGGGTAATCCAGGGGATTGGTAATCCATCCGTTTACGAATTACTGATTACTGAAATCCAAAGTAAATACATAAATACATATGTATATGATATATACTATGATGGTACCATATACTGGTTGTGGATGCAGGTGGTACTGCTGTGGATTGTGTGGATTATTGGACATCTGCTCGAAGGGGTTTTCTATCCATTGGAGTCAGTGTTTGGCCAACAGACATTGGGCAACGTTGTAAGATGTTCCTGGGATTTTTGGTGAATCTATTCGGTTGTGGGCGCAAGAAGAAGGAGTCACCGGTTCTTCCCTTACCGCCGCCAGTGGTTTATGATAGTTTCGAATGGCCCAAATCACCGGAGATTATTATAATCAAAGTGCAATCACCGATCCGGCGCCTGGCCACCCCATCCCCAACTCTAACTATCACACCCTGCCCGAGTCCGATTTCGAGTCGCAGCCCCTCACCCACACCCACTCCCATGCCCGATGCTACGCCCACACCACCAATGATATTTCACACCATCCTCAATCCCATGGAGCTGTATACGTTGTACTGGGAGGAGGAGGAGGGCTTCGATGATCCCCGATTGCCGGAATTGTTTATCTGACCACCCAACACCCATTCGGTTTAATTAAAACTCTATTTTTTTAATATTTTTTTTCCATAATCCAATTACGGGAAAAGGCAAAAAACCAAATGACAACAAATGGCATAATGGCCAGACAAACGAATAGAAAAAAATAGACTCGCAATAGTCTATGCAAAATAAATTATAAAAAAATATATCACAATATAATACAAAGCAAAATGCAAACAAACAATGCAATAAAATTCAATTACAACAACATTTTTAATTAACTTTTTTGCAATCAAAAAACACTCTCAACCAGCCAGACAAAAACATATGAAAATCCATGAAAGTCAATGGCATTTCATATTGGATTACTTACTGATTCGGAATCGGTTTTGGATTACTTGTGTATATCGTTTATTATTTGGTCAAGTGCCTCAATCCATTAAACAGAAGCCTAAAATGTTTATTTTAATGAGATATATTATATTACCTATATAGGGAATGGGATAAAGGGATACATTTTCCATTGTTTGTGGATACTTTGCTGACTAGAGTTACTAAATGGGTGTGGGTTTAGTTTGTTTTCGATTGAAGCTTTTATTTCTAACTCATTTAAGATTATTTATGTTTCTTTTTGGTGTCAAGTTTATTTTCATTATTGATGAATAAATGATATTATTAAATGCAAACTATTAAAGTATTGTTGAGAGTTTTTGGTGAGAACTTTGGGTGGTTGTTTAAAGTGGAGAGTTAATTATATTAAAATCATTATTAGGCCTATGCCTACTTAATATATTACTTATACGTTCAGTGCTATACAGTTTTATTTATAATATTTATTAGTAAAAATATGGACATAGTTTGTGATTAAATACATAAAAGGTTATAATTTTAGAGGTATTATTTTACCACAAACCTTAAATAACACGTATACGCCATGTAGGTTTATGAAGAGTTCTGAAAAACACCCCCCAAAATAACTGAAAACTCATGTTTATTAAAGGTAACTTTTAAAACAAAATATTACATATTTCTTCACAAAAAATACTCTTAAAAACATTAATTTTTAGAAATATTCTTCAACAAATATTAAATATCACGTATACGCCATGAAGGTGGGTTTTAACGAAGAGTTTTGAAACATTTCTTAAAAAAAAAACTACAAACAAGTAACTAAAAATTCTATTGACTTAAAATCTAACAAATATTAAATATTTTGATCTTAAATCCCTCCTAAAAATACTACTTAATTTTCAGAAATATTCCAAAAAGAAGAAATTTAAATATTACGAGTATATAAAGTTGCTAACCCAAGAAAATTCCCCCACAAAAAGCTACTAAAAATCCTCGTGTTTAGTCAATTTTAAAAGCAAAAGACTTCACAATTTTTAACAAAAAACCTTAAAAAACAAAATTTTAAAAATATAACTTTGTATATACAATATCTTAGCCCTATAGCCTTTAAAAACTTTCTCCATTACAAAGAAAAGAAAGTCATTCAAGTGGGATACTGGGATTCGCAATCGGTTAAAGGTGAAATGGGCGGCTATTTTGCCGACTATCAAGATCCTTTTTGTAGCACACCCACCCCCCGTTAACCCATTTTACTGTTATCTGTTGAAACAAACGGATAAGGGCGAAAGCCACCGAAAATATTCACCCACAATCGAGGAAAAACGACAAGTTTTAGTGCGACATTCGGCGGCGCAACTTTTGTCGCGAAGTGGAAGAAGACACCTCTAAACCGACTCTAATGGCCAAAAGTCACCTACCACCTGGACCTCCTGGAAAGTAGGGGTTGGAGTAGTAGTAATACCAGTTGCAACTAACACCCATTGTGAGCCATTTGTTTTGCGGGCGAATTGCAGTCGTGGCTGCGAAATTACATTTTCCAGGCGTACTGTTTTAGTTTCGCGGTGATTTTGCTCGCTCATTGTTTGCTTTTCTGTTTCGGTTTTCTATTTTCCTGTCTTTTGTGGCAAAAGTTGTAAAAGTTGTTTGGTTGTTTGGCTGTTTGGCTGTTTCCCACTCTAAAGTGTCTGAAGAAACACAGTCTTCCTCTAGCCTCTTACCAATTAATGCCAAATGTTTCGGGCTTAAAGCTCAAACTGTTTCCTTTCCCCTCAATTAACTACCAAATTGGTTGCCACACACCCAACACTACACCCACCTACGATTTCGATTGGGGATTAATGGGATCTACATAAGGGTGGTGGTGGGCGTGGACTGGCAATCCTCAAAGTCCACAATCTTTTCACGCACGCCATCCAATCCGGGGCCTAACTTTCTGCCTTTGAGATTTTCATTTAATCCATTAGTTTTGGTCAACTTTTCTCTCCAACTCCAGAAATAAATAAAACTTACCCTTAAAGGGGGGTATTTTTTATACAAAAATATTTATAATTGGTTAGTTAATGAGTTTATTATTAAAAAAGTTATTTAATCTTTAGAAATCGATTTAAATATTAAAACTTAATATAACCAAAACCCCATTTAAAACTCTATTATAATTTATTTAAATATTAAAAAAATATATGTTATAATATATATCCCACCCCTTTAAAACTGATCGGGAATATGTCGGTTAGTGGAAGACTCTCCAGCTTCGATGTCAGGACCTCCGAAAATTTCATCATGCCGCTCCAAAGCCTCATAGGAGATACGCAAGTCCCGGGACAAAGGTCGTATGCAAGTTCCTGTAAAACCGGAAGTTGAACCCACACCGGAAGTCGAGTTGGGCAGCGTGGCCGAACGTTGCTTATCCTTGTTGCTCTTCCGGCGCTGATCTCGCGACAAGGTCTTGTTCTGAATATCCTTGCCAACTTGCTCGTAGGCATCGTCCAGATGATGCCGCCGATGTGTGGAACTGGTATAGTCAGTATCCGAGTTATCCTGGGACCTGATGCACGAAAAGAAATCACTAAGAGTGCACATTATTGAGCCGATTTTAATTCTGATGGATTTAATCTGAAGATCTTTTGGTTTTATAGAGACTTCTTGGATTGTTTTAATCTTTTTTATGATCATGATGGGCCGCCCGACAGCTGTTTTTGGCCTCAAGAGTCATTTAACGACCATGAAGTGGTTCGGTGCCAGGTGTCTCTCCAACTCTATTCATCATCAGTGTTGCAATATCTATGAATGGGATAAAGGAGGCTGGCTTTTGACAGCCATCAATCAATGGCTTTTCCCCCCCACTTTTCCGGAGTGGCCACTTGAATGGCATAAAAAGCGGAAATTAATGCACTTAAGGCATTCAAAATAGACGAGATCCTGTAGACTTTTAAGCTCTGGGCTTGGGCCACTTGGGTGATTAATTGCCAGAGGGAATGATGGCCTCTTGAAGAGCAACGAACATCCCCCAACCCCCCAGCCGGATGTCTTTTAACCTTCCGTAATGGCACCTCATTGAGCAGTTAAAAGCGCGCATCCTTACAGCCTCCGCCTTTGTTGGGGAAAATGTCCTGCCAACGATGATTATTGTAATGGCTTTGAAAGCCTGAACAGGTGCAAAAATATATCCCCAGGCCATGAATTGTATTACCCCGAAGCGCATTATCCTTATTAACCGCAAATTGTGTGTCATTTCCCATGATTGATTCATTGATGGATAAGCGAGGGTGTCTATTTTTTCGTGGGGTGGTGGGGGAGGGATCTGCCAGAAAATAGACAAGGCTCAGGGGTTGGGAGGAAAATAGGAAAAACTGTGACACAGAAACCTCAAAAACCGCAGTACTGCCGCCATCTATGGAGCAGTTGTAGTTACTCACCATGGCCAAATACAGGGAAATTGGTAAGTGTCTTGGCTATGAACAGAGTGGTGGTTAGGTTGGTGCATTGGCTAAGAAGGGAAAATAACAGTGTGTCTTGGCTAAAAATTAGTTGAAAATAATTTAAAAAAATATTATTTCTTATTAAATATTATTAAAATAAAAATGTATAATTATTATAAAAAAAGTTGTAAAATAATATTAAAAATGCCTAGAAACCTCTTCAGGAATAAATCACAAAAAAAACCCTATTTTTAAAGCTTTAAATTTCCTTTAAAATAAATAAACATTAATATTAAATATTTGTTTACCTTTTCCACTTCATTAAACCCCATTTACGTTTTCCAAACTCCCCTGTGAAATCATGTAGAAATCATAATTCCAAAATTACCGATAAGAACTAATCGTTTCCCCCCCTTTTTATGTCCAAAATCATGGAATCTAACTCCCAGATAGACACTGTCTATTAGCCCCATGATTTCCAGCATTTAAGTAACTTGCAACAGATAGGAAAATATCCATCCACCAGCTTGAGTTTTCCAACCAAGTTTTCTCATTTTTCTCATTTTTTTTTTTATTTCAGCTAACGGAGCTGGAACAGCGCGTCATCGAAGCGGAAGAACGCGCCGAGGAAGCCGAAGATAAGGTAAGCCATTAAATGACTGGCATTTAGAACCCAAACCTCAAACATCTAAACCCAAACCCCAACCCCAACCCCATCATCCACTGGCAGTCTGCCACCCTTGACCCCCGACCCCAACCTCCCCTTTTTATTGTGGGAATTAAAACAAGGATAAACAGACATTAGAGGAGTCTTTCAGGAGCTCCGCACAATAGCCACACCATTAAAGAGCGCTTTAAAGCGCCGTGTTATTAAAGAGGTGAGTTTTTCCGATGGCTCCTGGTGGGGGAGGGCTGCCCGAACGGGGGCTGTTCGCCAACAGCTGTGCTCCACAACATTTGCTGGTCGAAAAACAACGTAAAGTTGTCACCAGCTCGGGCGGCAGGAAAACAATTGCGTAATATACAATTGCCAAAACATGGCGAGATGTTTTTAGAGGAAAAAGGATACCCTTTCCTATAAGAGTCCATACCAAAAATCGAAAATTATTGAAACAACATTTTGTTGAGGTTTTCTAATTGAGATTGATGGGGAATCGATCCACCAATCATTTAAGGTATTCCGTTTATAAATCGGATAAGAATTGGCTGAGATATAGACATGGCAAGGGCCAGATATGGAAATCTAGCATTTTCCCAAGGGGTACCATCAGAAAATTTTGAAAAAAATCTGAAAAATATTTTGTTCTCAGATTTTGATGCAGATATGTGGGGAATCGATCCACAAATCGTTTAAGGTATTTCGTTTAAGAATTGGATAAGAATTGACTGAGATATAGACATGGCAAGGGCCAGATAGGGAAATCTAGCATTTTCCTAGGGGTAACATCAGAAAATTTTGGAAAAAAATCTGAAAAATATTTTGTTCTCAGATTTTAATGCAGATTTGCGGAGAATCGATCCACAAATCGATTAAGATATTCCGTTTAAGAATCGGATAAGAATTGGGTGAGATATAGTCATGACAAGGACCAGATATGGAAATCCAGCATTTTCCTAGATATGGAAATCCAGCATTTTCCTAGGGGTGCCATCAGAAAATTTTGAAAAAAATCTAAAAAATATTTTGTTCTCAGATTTTGATGCAGATTTGTGGAGAATCGATCCACAATTCGTTTAAGGTATTCCGTTTAAGAATCGGATAAGAATTGACTAGTCATGGCAAGGGCCACATAGGGAAATCCAGCATTTTCCAAGGGAAACCATCAGAAAATTTTGAAAAAAATCTAAAAAATATTGTGTTCTCAGATTTTCATGCATACTTGTGGAGCATCAATCCACAAATCGTTTAAGGTATTCCGTTTAAGAATCGGATAAGAATTGACTGAGATATAGTCATGGCAAGGGCCACATAGGGAAATCCAGCATTTTCCTAGATATGGAAATCCAGCATTTTCCAAGGGGACCATCAGAAAATTTTGAAAAAAAATCTAAAAAATACTTTGTTCTCAGATTTTCATGCAGATTTGTGGAGAATCGATCCAGAAATCGTTTAAGGTATTCCGTTTAAGAATCGGATAAGAATTGGCTGAGATATAGACATGCCAAGGGCCAGATAGGAAAATCCAGCATTTCCCTAGGGGTACCATCAGAAAATTTTGAAAAAAATCGAAAAAATATTTTGTTCTCAGATTTTGATGCAGATTTGCGGAGAATCGATCCACAATTCGTTCAAGGTATTCCGTTTAAGAATCGGATAAGAATTGGCTGAGATATAGACATGCCAAGGGCCAGATAGGAAAATCCAGCATTTCCCTAGGGGTACCATCAGAAAATTTTGAAAAAAATCTGAAAAATATTTTGCTCTCAGATTTTGATGCAGATTTGCGAAGAATCGATCCACAAATCGTTTGAGGTATTCCGTTTAAGAATCGGATAAGAATTGCCTGAGATATAGACATGCCAAGGGCCAGATAGGGAAATCCAGCCTTTTCCTAGGAGTACCATCAGAAAATTTTGAAAAAAATCTGAAAAATATTTTGCTCTCAGATTTTGATGCAGATTTGCGGAGAATCGATCCACAAATCGTTTGAGGTATTCCGTTTAAGAATCGGATAAGAATTGCCTGAGATATAGACATGCCAAGGGCCAGATAGGGAAATCCAGCATTTTTGTAGGGGTACCATCAGAAAATATTGAAAATAATCTGAAAAATATTTTGTTCTCAGATTTTGATGCAGATTTGTGGAGAATCGATCCACAAATCGTTTGAGGTATTCCGTTTAAGAATCGGATAAGAATTGCCTGAGATATAGACATGCCAAGGGCCAGATAGGGAAATCCAGCATTTTTCTGTACCATCAGAAAATATTGAAAATAATCTGAAAAATATTTTGTTCTCAGATTTTGATGCAGATTTGTGGAGAATCGATCCACAAATCGTTTGAGGTATTCCGTTTAAGAATCGGATAAGAATTGCCTGAGATATAGACATGCCAAGGGCCAGATAGGGAAATCCAGCATTTTCCTAGGGGTACCATCAGCAAATTTTGAAAAAAATCGAAAAAATATTTTGTTCTCAGATTTTGATGCAGATTTGTGGAGAATCGATCCACAAATCGTTTGAGGTATTCCGTTTAAGAATCGGATAAGAATTGCCTGAGATATAGACATGCCAAGGGCCAGATAGGGAAATCCAGCATTTTTGTAGGGGTACCATCAGAAAATATTGAAAATAATCTGAAAAATATTTTGTTCTCAGATTTTGATGCAGATTTGTGGAGAATCGATCCACAAATCGTTTGAGGTATTCCGTTTAAGAATCGGATAAGAATTGCCTGAGATATAGACATGCCAAGGGCCAGATAGGGAAATCCAGCATTTTTGTAGGGGTACCATCAGAAAATATTGAAAATAATCTGAAAAATATTTTGTTCTCAGATTTTGATGCAGATTTGTGGAGAATCGATCCACAAATCGTTTGAGGTATTCCGTTTAAGAATCGGATAAGAATTGCCTGAGATATAGACATGCCAAGGGCCAGATAGGGAAATCCAGCATTTTTGTAGGGGTACCATCAGAAAATTTTGAAAAAAATCTGAAAAATATTTTGCTCTCAGATTTTGATGCAGATTTGTGGAGAATCGATCCACAAATCGTTTGAGGTATTCCGTTTAAGAATCGGATAAGAATTGCCTGAGATATAGACATGCCAAGGGCCAGATAGGGAAATCCAGCATTTTCCTAGGGGTACCATCAGCAAATTTTGAAAAAAATCGAAAAAATATTTTGTTCTCAGATTTTGATGCAGATTTGTGGAGAATCGATCCACAAATCGTTTGAGGTATTCCGTTTAAGAATCGGATAAGAATTGCCTGAGATATAGACATGCCAAGGGCCAGATAGGGAAATCCAGCATTTTCCAAGGGGACCATCAGAAAATTTTGAAAAAAATCGAAAAAATATTTAGTTCTCAGATTTTAATGCAGATTTGCGTAGAATCGATCTGCAAATCGTTTAAGATATCTCACATAAGGATCAGGTGGATATTAAGTGAGATATGGTCTTGGCAATGGACCCTAATCGAGGCCCCAAAAATGGTAGTGAATATTTTGGGAGAATTTTTTTGTTCGACGCCTGGAAAGGGCTATGGGTAATGGCAGATGACACATCGTGTTTAGCTTGGTACACAGAACATAAATCGACTTCCGTTCAGTGTCGCTTGGCAGCATCCACCGTCCTCGTCCCTGGACGCCCGCCCATCCCCCTTCAGTCGCCCCACCTCTTCAACCGGAAATAAACATTAATGCAGGCACTGCGTTGGAGTTCGTGCGGTTGCAAGCGAAACGGAGCTTTAGACAGCCTCCCCTCTGTTGAAAATAAAACTACCCCATCAGTAGCAAGGACATACACACACGACCCTCCATCCCTCCCCCCCTCTCCCTCTCCGATTACCTGATCCATCCTCCTTATATTCTCGTAGTCCTGGCGATGCTTTCAATATCAAATCCGCATTGTTTGCATTAACAAGTCCCCGGAGGCTGTTCGGTTTGCCAAACGCAACACCCCAAAAAACAAGCGAAATGCAAATATTTACACCCCCACCTTGAAAATGCCATCTACACTAAGAGAAAATAATAAGCAATTATAAAAATAATTTATAATAAAAATAGGGAGCCTATCTTAAAGTTAAGATAGATCCTTTTCTAACTCTTACTTAATTTTAATATTTTAAAAATGATCATAAGCTTTTTCTCTCAGTGCTTTATTTAACTCCCCAAACCCAGATCCTTGGGCCTATCTCTCTCAGTTACCGTTGCCAGGCCGTGTTTGCCTTTGGCTTCCTTGGCCACCTCAAGCCACCAAGCCTGCTCCGCCGGATTGTTGAGCAAAAACCCGGAACCGGGTAACGGGAATACTATACTACAGAATGCAGAGCCCAAAATCCGGAACTTGGAACCCCAAAAAAAAAAAAAACACCACTGGGCCCAACCACTGTGACAAATTGAATTCTTGTTACTTTGTTTGCGTCGAGATTAAATTCATGTACAAACACGTGGATTGTTAACTAGCCACCCCCTTTTTAAGACCGATTTTCCTCGGTCCAACCCCTTTCCGGGGGGATAGACAGTATGGTATGGTATATGGTGTTTTTTAGCCAAGTCGTTAACACAGCCGCATTACTTATGCTTCAATTAGTCGTCGTGGGGCTTTAAACGGGTTAACTCATTAGAACTATTATGGAAAGTGTCAGGGGGGCTTTAAAGGAGTGGATATTAAAAATGATTGATGGATTTCTGTAGAAGAGGGTCTTAGGAATAACAAAGCCTACTGGATTAGCTTTTATTAGCTTCTTTGGGGGGGTTGTGAAGCATTAACTCTGCTTTTTTTAAGATTAGGAATTTCAAAAAAAGGTCTGAGGGGAAATAAGACCTTATATATTCTATAAAGAAAAGTATGAATAGTATAATAATTGTGTATAATAGGTATTTCTTTAGAACTATAAGTAGTATACATAAAACATAAAAAAATAATACATTTTATAGGCTCTTTATAAAAACTCTGTAGTACTACTAGTATCTAGTA